AAATTCAATAATTTTTTAAGTGCTATAATTGCTCGATCTCGTAAAATTTATGTAGTCATTATATCTCAAATGCGCATGATCCAAACCACCAATTTACAGGAACACAAGAAAATCTGAACAACTCCATTTGCGGCAAAGCGCCGTAACTAGCTCATATATAAACATAAACTCACCATAAGAGAGACCTTAACAATGATTTAAGGTATTAGTTTTGTACAAATGAAAGGTGGTTGGCCATTGTTGAACGAGTAACTTGGACAAGCTAGGTTGATTAAATTGTTTAACAAAGTGGCCTTCTAATTAACAAATTTGTTAATGTGATTATTGAAGTATATTCTGCCGTTGTCTCGGCATCAGAAAACTGCGAAATTGAATGAATCTTTTTATAAGTGAAAGAGGCAACCATTTTGGTCTCCCAACGATAATTATTATTCTATTTACTACAAACCTTATCATATTACATGAGGATTAAATAAAAACAAAAGACTTTCTTGGACATAAACAATAAGTTGACCAACCTTTTCCTCAATCTTTATTTTTACTCTTTTGTCCAGCAAAGACTACTATCCCATCCCTCACCAAATGCCTAATTGGTTATTAATTACCATTTGTTTTTAACAAATATTCTTAAGAGAACTGCCGATGCTCTACAAGTATACTATATCTATGCTCATACTTTGGCCATTCGTTTGGAAATTAGTACTAATGTTAAGATCAGATATATTATTTATATGAACAAGATTCTCATAATCCCAACTTAAAAAATTTCGAACCTTGATTATATAATTAGGGCTTCCAAAAGTGTAACTTTGACTAGCTTTGTTATGATCTCAATCCTCATAAGATAATTCATTAATAAGAAACAATAATGCATGGCCATAGTAGATATTAGTCTTGGATGGGATGGGATAGTAGTAGTAGATATTGTCAAAATCACAATGTCGATCATTCTTGTCTCTTGCTAGGATGCTCTCATAATTAATGGTGTGCCTTTTCTTTATTTTATGAGAATAATGAATCTTCCAAAATGGAAATTCACAACAATGTCTCATGCATATGTGTTTCTATTTCTTTGCATTGTGGACTCTCAAGTCTCAATAATCTATCATTCTTGTTGGTTCAAAGAGATATATTGTATAAGCATATATAATTCATAGTTTGAATACGGCGGTCATTTTAAAATAAAAGTTATATAAAACCAATTTAACAATTAGAAGGGATTCTATAATTGGGGCTTTAATCCTAAAAGCATAGGTAAAAAAAATTGTTTCATGTGAAAAATCGAATAACACTGATCGTAAAAGCAGCAAAATCGTGCTTTAAGTCTACTTTTGTACATTTTTGTTATAGTGACATAAAATTTAATTAATGAAGAAAAACCGCATTTATGTCAATAGAAATTAAAAAATAAACTAAAAAACTCGAATTGAAATTTGAAATGAGTTGTTTGTATCTAGTTTCTTCGTCTGCAAAGGTTGGGAAACAATGTGATGGAGTCCAGACTAGACTATATATACGTTCTATAGGCCAGACTAGGCAGGTGATCATTTTGAGAAAAGAATGAACATTTTATTTGGTATACTACACCAAAAATCAAACTAATAGCTTACAAAGAAATATTTGTCTACCTTTAATGCATAATTTCGATACCATAGTTTCAAGAAAATAATAAGCAACGAAGACAGAGCAACTCAACTACCATCAACATCATAAATATTAACAGAATGTCATATTGAAGACGCATTCATCTCTAATCTCTTGCAGAGTGGGTTTTGTGAATGAAGTAGGTGACAAGATTTACAAAATTAGTGTTGAGATCCGGGTCTCACTGGACAGTTGGGTGAATGGTTGGTGGTTGGATTTATGGTCTGGTCCGATAAATTACAATATGGACTAGAACAAGAGATCAAAGCATCACATAATACATAGATACATACCATGAACCATGGGTAATGACCATGAGTAATGACCTGTTAATATGATACAAAGATAGATATGTGAAGTTAATAGTTTACATATTTTATCGAATAAATGTTGTAGTAAGCATATTTTTAACAAATTTCATATGATATATAAACGATGATATGGACCTAAAGGAAGCAGAAGTAGATGACTAGAAGGAGAAGTACCAGCGATAGTCCACCCCATTGCCCTGACTGCTGCGAGCCCATAATAAAAAAATTAACGGAAGACTAAGCAATTGTTGCCCAAATTGGCTCAAATTTTATAAAGAGACTTATGGGGACTCTGGCACTCCATTAAAATCATTTACTACTTGTGCTTCATTCTACCTTTCATCCTACACCTTACTACTTCTCCATACCCACTTTCACGTGGTTCTAATTGCTCTTACTAATTCAGGAAAACCAACCCACTATGACGGACATACACATTGGTAGTAGGATGGGTGTGCCCATACTTTTAGAACACACATGACCTATGGCCTCCAAAATCATATCCATTATATGCCTACCAGCCACCACCAATTAATGCAACATGTTGGTTAATTTGTTGGGGGAGAAAAAGGATGTTCTTGTGCAACACATCATGTTGTTCCTAAAGATATGTGATGTAATACAAGGTCAATATGCTTATATGGGCGTGACTAGGCTACGCTTATTCCCCTTCTCCATTGCTGGAGAAGTAGAAGAATGGTTTGATCACCATCCACCCCATACTTTCCGAACCTGGATCTTTTGCAAACATTCCTAGAAAAATTCCTTCATCCATGGAGAATCGATGAACTAAAATAGCTTGGTAGGTTCACCCAAGGAGAGGAGGAAATTCATGCTCGAAAAAAAGCTCAATCCTCCATCAGACCATCTAAAGGCTTTCTAAGCTTGTGACCTCTGCCAAGCTAGTAATGGAGCTCGGTGAAGACACCAAACCTTCAAAATCTTCCTTACAAATGTCATCGATTTAAACAAAAGACAAGACAACTATGAGGAACGACTTCCCGAGGCTAATGACAAGCTCGGTGAACTAGTCACGAATAATCGACTTGCGGGAGAAGAACCGAATATTCATCTGAATGTAGTCACTAAGGGCAAGAAGAAGACACAAACAACACCCTAGAATAATCTGTATGATACTTTAAGATGGAAAATGTTTTGGTTGTAAATAGATGTATTGTTTTTTTAGGATAAGCAAAACCAAACTACAATCGTGTGGTTATTGGTTAACCGCACACCGCATAAGAGGGTCCTTCAATGGGCACCGTTATTTATATGGACCATTTTTTGTTATGCGGTTAACCACTAACCGCATCGAATAAGAGACATTCATATAGTTAACCACAACTATTTGAACAACCGAATAAGATGAGGATTAACAAAATATTTCTAAGGAGGAGGAATCAGAGGATGATTGAGAAATCAAGAAGATGTTGAACTATCAATTATATTTAACAACTACTTAGGTAATGCGGGTTTTACTAGATAACCGCGGGTAATTGCTTCCCGCATTATACGGTTAATGAGTAACCGTTAATCGCGTACTCGCTCCTAAAGGGGGTACGGGTAACCGTCCTAAATAGTGTGGTTAACCGTAACCACATTGATGACACCCTTTAACTTGGTGCAGACCGATAATATATGACTCAATTTTTTAATTCTAAATTATATCAAAGTGAATGCCATTTTGAAAAGCATGATTAATGTGATTTTCTTTGTAAAAGAATTTGAATTTCGAGTTAAACCGAATAATATAGATCACTAAATTTAATTGGAAAAATATTAAGCATGATAAGTAACTAACCAGATTACTGACCGGATTTGCTCCCTACATAAAGCCCTTAATCATCTAACAAATTCTATTGTCTTTCTCTTTTCTATAAATGGGAAATCAAATATGACTTAGAACAAAGCATTTATTAGGGATAGCAACGAGTTTGGGTGGGAATCATCTTCAAATCATGATTTTAAAATCGTAATCATTCTCGTAACCAAAACTTGACTAGGATGTAAAGTGGCAATACCTAAACTTACCTCTGTGCGGTTCTACAAGATGATTATAATACTTGAGAGATATGGAAGTCCGGAATGTCGAAGTATTGAGTCTATTCATAATTTTGACACACCAAACATCGTGGTTTCACCATCGTATAACAATTTTCTACTGTTTGGGATCCAGTATTCTATATTTCCAGTCCAACCAGCCAGTGCGATAGGGTTTTCTCAAACATTGGTTTATACAACCATGATACACTTTCATACCAATTGGTATACTCTTATGTACATCCCAAGTAGTATCACATGGTATGGACTGGGAATAAAAGTTGCAATTTTTTTTAATATATATCAAAATCGATGTCATTTTGAAGAGCACGATTAATTTAATTTTTATGTATAAATGTTTTTTAATTTCGACTTAAACAAAAGAGAATTAAGTCGTTAAAGTTTATTGGTTGAACGCTAGTAGTCTTCCAAAATCGGTAAGTAAATGCTATATGGTTATACAACCTTAAATTATGCAGGGAAATCGTTCCCAAATTATTGTGCTACAATATTATTTATTCCAACTAGTTGGTTACATACATATAAGCTAATGTTTGACTAGCTCCCATTATTATTGTCAATTTGTCACTCTTAATCAATTAACTAGTCTCTAATCGGCAATGAAAACACGAACTAGTCCAAGTTAAGAAAATAGGCGTAGGAAAACAAACTGAATCACAGTAAAGTATAGAACTACACTAAGCTATACTTACTCATTAGGATAATTAATTCAGTCTCTCCAAAGGAAAAACGACAAAAACCAGACCCCACAAACCACAGTACGACACACAGAAAGAAAAAGAAAACCCTAATTTCCGAGAAAACACGACCAATTATTCTATCCATCCTCCAACCATTACTAAATTTCCGCCCAACCCGTCCAAAATTATGTACAAACAGACATTATTAATTACTAATCTATCCCCCCGCTCCCGTAGAACATCGTCTGTTTTATATTCCCAAATCATACCCCTATATATTAGATTAAACTAATCTATCTCCTCCTCCCTCTCTCTCTCTCTCTCTCTCTCCAACCAAAAATATTCAATCTCACACCCTCCAAGCACTCCATCCTCTCTTCTCTCTCTCTCTCTTTCGCTTCCCTGGCCGGAAGAACCCAAACGAAAGCGCCAACAACCCCCCGCCGGCGTCTACTACTGATCTCGATTTCTAACGGGCAGGCAGCTGTGGGTCGCCGGCGAAACGGTAGCTACATCACTACTACTTTGGTTCTTCTTTTGCTTTGCTTGTTCTTCCTTTTCTTCCTTCCTATCTGTAAAAGAAGTATAAAAGCAATTGGCCGGGCGGGAGGAATCTTTTTTTTCTTCCTTTTCCAACTCCGAATTCCTTTCCTTCCTCCTCCCCAGCTGTCAATCCCAATTCCGACTCCAATTCGGATTAAATCCCCCAATAAATTAAACCCCAATCCTCCGTCGATCCGACCCAGAAAAAAAAGGAGCTGCTGTTGTTCTTTTCTTCTTCACTGGGGCAATATGTCGAACCCTTGGTGGACGGGACAAGTCGGGCTGGCGGGGATGGGTGACGCATCCACCACCAAGCTCCAGCAGAATCAACCAGATCTCGGCATCTCAATCTCCAACGCTGCCGCAACCGAGAGCGGCTCCGGCGCCCACGACGACGACCGTGACCACAGCGACGAGCCCAAGGAGGGCGCAATCGAGGCCGCGACCCGGCGGCCGAGGGGCCGGCCCCCGGGGTCCAAGAACAAGCCGAAGCCGCCCATCTTCGTCACCCGGGACAGCCCGAACGCGCTCAAGAGCCACGTCATGGAGATCGCGAGCGGCACCGACATCACGGACAGCCTGGCTTGCTTCGCAAGGAAGCGGCAGCGCGGGGTCTGCGTCCTGAGCGGCAACGGGATGGTGACCAACGTGACCATCAAGCAGCCCTCCGCGGGGGCAGGGTCGCCCCCCGCCACCCTGCCCGGGAGGTTCGAGATCCTCTCACTGATGGGGGCGTTCCTCCCCGGCCCCGCCCCGCCCGGTGCGACGGGCCTCACCATCTACCTGGCGGCCGGGCAGGGCCAGGTGGTGGGAGGGAGCGTGGTGGGCCCGCTCATCGCGAGCGGGCCCGTCATGGTGATCGCGGCCACGTTCTCGAATGCGACCTACGAGAGGCTGCCGCTGGAGGAGGAGGAGGAGGCGGGCGGTGGGCAGCAGATGGGGAAGAGCGGCGGGGAAGGTGGAGGAGGCGGCGGAGGAGGGATGGGGGATCCTAGTGGGGCTGCATCGATGCCGTTTTACAATTTGCCGCCCAATCTACAGGTGCCGAATGGGGGACAGTTGAATCATGAAGGGTATGGGTGGCCACATGGCGGCGGAGGTGGAGGGCGGCCGGCGCCGTTTTGAGAGAAAGAGAAAGAGATCAGGTTCTTCTGCTTTGCTTTGCTGTGATGTGTGTGTAAGTAGTGTTTTATCTGCAGGTTCAGTAAAAAAAAAGGGAGGAAGTAGTAGCAAGGATTGTCAATTTAGGTGGTGATGATCCTATGGTGGTTAATTAATAATAAGACTCTCTTTCGGAAGGAAGAAATCAAATTCTCAAGTCTCTTTTGTTAGGATTTCTGGTGGTTTTTCCTTTATTTTCGTAGCTTAAAATTAATCTGCATATATAATGACTGAATTAATGTTTGTGGCTTTTAATTTATTTCCTGATTTAGTCCACTATTATGTGCATTGGCTACTAGCTATGAGAATATTTTATATATGCATGTTTCTTTCTTCTCTCTCGTTTTCTGGACTTGCTTGGTTTATTTATTTACAACTGTTACCTGCTAGCTAGAATATTATGTGATGAATTCCATGATTTGCAATAGATTTTTGTATGTTCCATGTTCAAGTCAGTATGGTCTCATACCATTTTGTTATCGCACTCTCGGCTATTTGGTCTCTAATACGATTTACAATCCACGGTTCATTTTTATATTGGTGTTCTTGCTTGATCTGACTTTGTATTAGTATTTGATTTTTATGTGGGACTGTGATCAAGGCACAATGAGTTGGTTGCAATGATTTCTATGGTTGGAGGTTTTTTTAAAGGCATTGGATGGATTAGTTTAAGCATATTATACTACTGATCAATATATAAAATACTCCCGTTCAACTAAGGGATGATGTATTGTAACTGTCAGTAAACGGTATATGATCCACGATTGAATCTCTCCCAACTCGAGTTATTGGAATCAACTGGTTCTTGACATGGTAGCAGAGCCTTCTGTGACCGTGAGGTCTTCTGTTTGATTCCCGGTGACCCCCATCTGTTTCTGTAAGCACACGGTGTCCGGACCTATGTCTGTCCAAAGTCCAAGCCTATCTGAATGGCTTGAGTTTGAAGTGGGGTGTTAGTAAACGGTACATGATTCACGATTGAATCTCTCCCAACAACTCGAGTTATTGGGATCAATTGGTTCTTGACAAATACAGGAGGAGCAAAAGATAAACCTGGAAAATCCGGGTTTGAGTTCTCGTAGTTCCACTTCTTGGGTGGTATGGATGGGATTTGTATGAGAGATTGCAACAGAATTTCGCATTTTTGTGGATTTTAACACAATAACACTAGGTAGGGCTTCAAAAATATGGGTTTTAGGTTCGAGAAATTTTGAAAATCAGGGTTATTTTGAAATCCCTTAATATTTTTTGTTTTTTTTTTCAATTTTATCCTCTTTTTTTTGCCATCCAACTCTATTTGTATTGCCTCTCATGGTTCCCTTCCAATCCTCTGATAAATCTGCTAATTCAATGACCAACACCGGGGGATTGAATCCTCTGGTTAAGAATAATTCTACCTCTCCTTCCATCACCGGTATCCTCTGTCGGTTTGAAACATCCATCGAAATTCTGCTAGGAATCATTCACAGTCAAGGTTCAAGAAAGCGCCAAGGCGTAATGCTGGTGTTGAAGCTCTGGCTTACGCTTAGCATGGTTAGGCGTCGCCTAGACATGTCTAAACGTTAGATGTAAACATAGCAAAATATCTCAGATTTTTCTAGAATCACAAGTTTCTGAATCAATATCATTGCATCTACCTCTTATTTCAAACCTTTCATCAACAACACATGGTAAAACATAAACATAGAGTGGAGAAATAAGTAAGGAAGAAGAAGCTGGAAATAGCGAAGTAGATTGAGAGCGAAGAAGCATAAAAAATAAAGAAGAAGTCATTCTAAAGATGGTGGTCTCTAACTATTTCCTATCCTAATTATAGAGAAATCAAGAGAGACCTCCCAAGTATCATATCAAAAGGTAGATATAGACATCGCGACATCATTTTAAGGCGCAACTCTATGTTGACTAGGCACCACCAAGGCAACAACGTAATCATGACATGACGCCTTCTCTGTTGCTTTATGCCAAGGTGAGGCATTTTCCTTATGACTTGTGCCTAGGCGAGAGGCTAAGGGCGCTTTTTAGAACCATGTTCACAGTTGTCGATGATTCCTCCTCCTCTTTTGTGGGTATCGTGTAATTTTGCAAATCAGTTCTCTCTATTCACTTGAGTTCGTCGAAAATTTCTTCTTCTGTCGTTATCATCACCATCAACCGACTACTCTTCTTCTCTCTCCTTTAGTATTTCTAGGTTAACTTTGTGCAAAATTTTAGGTTACCAATAGTATAACACTATAACACCATATTACTGTTTTATATAATATCGTGATATGACAGTGATATTATCACCCAAAAAAAAATTGTTTCAAAAAATATCAAAATGGATATCAACGCCAGCCACCCCAAAATCCGGTCAATTGCCACCCAAATCCGATCAGCCATCTCCATCTTCTCCTATTTTCCCTTCTTACCACCTACAAAGATTGACATTGAATCATTTTCCTCTCAATCTCAACCATTCATTATGATTTTGTAAGACTACAAAATTAAAATTATAGAATTGTGTACTCTAACCCAAGCCATAATTAAATCCCATCCAAACCACCCTTAATTTTTTATTTGCTATAGCTTAGTTTGGCCCTGCTGTAGCTTTTGCAGAAGCAACTTCTGGCTGGAGCTTTTAGATAAGTACTTTTCAAAAAAAAAAAAAAACAGTTGAGTGTTTGGCTGTAAAACTATTAGAAGTGTTTTTTAATACGAGAGGTATTGTAGAATGACTATAAAGGACTTATAATATAAAATATGAATAAAAATTCTATACAATAAAAAGTAGTCAAAATGAATCTTGTTAGATTTCTTTTATATTAAATAATATGATTTTATAATTTATTTTATTTTTAAAATGATATAAATGAAGGAAAATTATATTTTCTGAAATAAAATTAAAATATGGTAAGAATAATTTTGTATTTTCAAAACAGCTTTTCGCAGAAGCTCCAAATCGAAGCTTCTGCTTTTATGTTGTACATAAACAGTTTTTGGCTTTTCATAAACCGAGCTTTTAGAAGTGTTTGACCCTGCTTCAGCTTTGAAAGCCGAAAAGCACTTCTAAAAGCCGGGCCAAACATAGGTTATGTGTGCAGCAATGGGATGGGATTAGGAGGTAACCCTTATAGGGGTTAGCACCGTGATAACTAGCAAACAACGCTACTAAAAATAACGAAATCACTACGAATTATTATAAAATCAATACAACATCTAAGCTAAATCACTACTAATTCAAACTAATAGTAATTTTTCCCTTGGTTAGGACGGTGCTAATTATTGTACAATTAGCACCGTAGCCGTTCCCGTAGAGCAATTCTAGGACTTAGAGATTGTCAGCACTCGGCAGACAGCATATCTGGTTTATTTAATTGTATAGTGTATTTATTGCTCTTTGGAAAATTGATGCAATAGTTTTTTTTTTTTTTTTTTTACAGCCGACCACCACAAACAATTTAAAAGGTTAAATAGTAAATCTTTTTCTCTTTTACGGGATAAAAAAATGTCTACCTCCTAAACAGACGACATGCCAATTCTTTTAGAATATTGGGAAACCTAGCCTATGTTATGTATATGATAGGAAACGAAAAAGGTACTTGAACGGCTAACTATCTTAGAATCTTTGTTTATTTATCTATATTTTCATTGGAGGACAAGCAAGATGATATTATATGTGATTTAAAGATAATATAAACCTTCAAAGTGGCAGTTTATAAATGTCGTAGTTGTGGGGATTTCTTTAGTGAATTTGGGATAGATACCGTTTTTTTTAGAAGATATATATTTTTTTCTTATTAAGAAAATTGTGGTGTCTTCATAAATATAATTTAAATTAAATATATTGTTTTATTTTCAGTGCATTCATTTTTTTATGTATGTTATCTACCAGTCTCATAATTGTTATTTTGAGTAGGTAATGCTTGTCGAAACGATGTCACTCGTCATTTGTATATGATAGACAAGAAAATAAATGAATTTGTATAAATTCAATCAACACTATTATGATTTGACGAATTTAGGTTTATGAATCTAGGGTTTACAATTTGGAGCTTAGGGCTAGGGTTTAGAATTGAAGAGCTAGGAATTAGAGTAATGTATTGATTAGTTGTCACTTGTCATGCTATGCTATATCATCATATTATACTAATGCTTCCAATTAAAATTGAAAATTTGATGTCTTAAATCTAATTCTATAAATGGGTGCATAATATATTGCATGTCAATGCAATGTAGAAGTCACCATATATATTATATATCATTTTGATTTTCAATGGGTTTTGTTTCTTGTATTTTTATAAGGATATTATATGTTTGTGTTTTATAATTAAGTGGTACAAATGAATTCGATCCGTTAACGTCCATACAAGATTAGTAGAAAGTAAAGTGGGGTTTTAATAGCTGAACCTTAGGATTACGGTTTTTACTAGTTGCAGAGTAGTTGGAGTCAATGTTAGGTAATTAGTACATAATTATATAGATTGTGGGGCTAATCATGTCATAGATTTGTTGTTGAAAATGAAATCTTATTAAGTTAGTAAGGGAGCCCTTTGGGAGAAAGCCGGAAAGTAGGGAAAAGATATAAAATTTTCACTGATTGTGGATAGCACGTGTTAATCACATATAATTAATAAAATAAATTTATAAATAGTACATTGCAAAAGAATCAATAAAGATTGCGTCTCATTTGATATTGATAATGGTTGCCGCTAGGCGCTAGCTAAGGGTGGTACGAAGGGGAACGGCTACGGTGCTAATTGTACAATAGTTAGCACCGTTCTAATCAAGGGAAAAACTACTACTAGTTTGAATTAGTAGTGATTTAGCTTAGATGTTGTATTGATTTTATAATAATCCGTAGTGATTTCGTTATTTTTAGTAACGTTTTTTGCTAGTTATCACGGTGCTAACCCTATAAGGGTTAGCACCTAATCCCATCCCGGTATGAAGTTGCAACTGTATTAAGTATGTGTTCTGGTGTTTTTACCGCATATCAATAGAATATAAATAATTCTATAAAAAAAAGAATATAAATAATTCGCACAAAGAAAAAAGAATATAAATAAACATTTTCTCAAATTGGATTTTATGGTTAAAAATTTCCTCAATTTTTAACCATTCACGTCTATTAAAAATTCTACTGTATTAATCATTGACACAAATTCTATTTGATGATACTAATCACAAATCTGCAATGTAGTTAATGTCAGACCGGACAGATTGGTTTGATCGATAGAACCACCAACTAGACCAAGTCCGGACCAGTCCATTGCT